AATGAAGCAGTTAAGACCACTATTGCAGAGGAGCTGGGTTCAGTTCCCAGCACCTGCCTTGGGTACTTCACAGCTGCCTGTAGTTCTAGTTCCAGGGGGACCTGATACCTCTGGCCTCAGAGGGTACCTACAAGGGCCACAATACTAAACTGAGGGTACATGTGTGTGCACACAATTTTAAATAAACTTTTTATATAAAAAATAACTATGCAAATGTTTATTAACATGAGGTGTTCCACAATTTTACTTACATTTGCAGTGCTGGAGATTGTTCCCAGTGCTTGTACATGCTAAGCTTAAGTTTTCCACTGCGCAACACTCATAGTTCCTGTAAAGAGAAGCTCTCCTGTAGACCAGGCTAACTTCAGTCCAAGGATGATTTTGAACTGCTGGTCTTCTTCAGCTACTAGAATGCTGGGATGATAGGCATATATCACCATACTAGTTGTATGTGGTACTAGTGTGAAACCCATGGTTTTTGATGATGATGCTGCGAGGCAGGCACTCTGCCAGCTGAACTACATCTCCAGCCATCTTTACCACAGTTTTAAAATAATAAAACCTTCAAAAGCCAAAAAAGTGAATGTAAATTAATTTTGTTCATCTGTAGGCAGTTAGAACTGTTTTCCCTTTTAAAAAGTAATTACATTTTAAATGGTTGTGAAAGTACCTATATAATGGCCTTTGACCTTCAGAACCTAAATATTTACTATTAATGAATTAGCTTGCTGTTAACCAGTTATGTATCCCAGAAACAAGGCACTTAAGTATGCTGACCCTTGTTTTCCTAGGTTTAGAAAATGTAATACTTATCCTGTCTGTTCAGAAAAGTTGTGTAAGTGACCAGAAGATAAGAAGCAAAAAATGCACGAGTCTCATGTTTGCTTTCCTGCATGGAGCTTGAACATTGGCCTTATTTACTTTGTTGTTAGCAAATGTATTGCTTTCCAGCTTCCTGTTTGTAGCCAGACAGTTCCTTAGTTTTTTTATTGTTGTGGGTTGTTTTGGGTTTGTTGTTGTTTTACTTTTGTTGTGTGTTTTTCCCTTATCAGCCAGTTGGTAAAATCAAAAATTTAAAAGATTTAAAAATTAGAACTTGGGGAGCTGTGTGTATGTGGTGGTGTATTGCCTTAACCCCAGCTTTTGGGAGCCAAAGGCTGGCAGATCTCTGAGTTTGAGGCCAACCTGGTCTACATAATGAGTTCCCCCAATATCTGGGAAAAAAGAGAGTGAGAGAGAACTTGGCTGGTGTGTGATAAAAGACTTCTCTTACTAGGATTGTATGTGTGGTTCATAAATGCTGCCTATGTTTGCTGTCTTCTTAGTTTTTTCACTGCCTTTAAAGAAAACATTATTCATTTGAACTGAGCATTTGTTTTTGTTAGAAAATGTTTTCTGAGGAGTTAGTTTTTGTTTTGTTTTTTTAAGATTTATTATGTGTAAAGTGTTCTGCTTGCAGGCCAGAAGAGGGCACCAGATCCCATATGGTTGCTAGGAATAGAACTCAGAACTTCTGGAAGAGCAGCCAGTGCCCTTAAACACTGAGCCACCTCTCCAGCCCCATATTTTGTAAGACACACTTATGTGCACTGGTGTCCAAAGATCTTAAAGCCTTATAGGTCCCATTGAAGTTTTGTCATCCCTAATACATAAGCTAGAGAACAGTCCTAGGAAAGATTATTTTAAATTTGAGAAATGATGTGGAATTTCTCACATAAAGACCAAATGGTGCGATGGTCAGTTGGCAGAAATGATTTGCAGCAGCTCTTCCAGGTGTGGCTGGCTGTGCATGCACTGCGCCACAGCACTAAGTTCACAGACAGCTTTTGCATCCATAGGGGTGTGGTTGGGAGGCAGTTTATACAGTTGTAAATGTTTGCTCATATGAAACAGTTACCTTACAATACCTGTCCTCTGCCATTTCTCTGCTATGGCAATGGCATCTTGGCCTTTCCTTTATCTTGGTTTCCAGTGGGATTTTGAAGATTGTATTTTGGTTGCCTATGTGAGAGAGCCTTCATTCATTTCACCCAAGTCTAGGTCTAATAACTGAGTTTTATCTTGTAGATACCTTTATTCTTCTACATGTTTGTTATTTCCATTATATGATTTTGTTCTAATAAAAGTTAACGTCCAGCTTTTTCTAGACTTACTAGTCAAAGGCACAAGATTGATCCTTATTAAACTAAGGATTAAGTTTACAAGATACATATGTCCTTTTCCAAATTTTATAGTTTCTAAGTCACACTGAATGGTTATAAGTTCAACTACAGTGTTACAGTTCAAATACAGCAAGATGGCAAAGATAGGAACTTACAAATGCCTCCTGTTTACTTGAAGATTCTACTATTTTGTGATTGGGTGCTGTGCCTTTATGTGGGCATATTAGTGAACCAGGTGTCCTTGGTGCCTGAGAAGGTTGTGAGCCAACACCGTGTGGGTGCTAGGAATAGAACCCAGTCCTGTGGAAGAGCAGTCAGTGCTCTTAACAAGCCATCTTTCCAGTCCCCCATTTACTTTGATTTTTGTGGGGCATTGTCTTGTCGCCCACAGTTTGACAGATACTTGAGATGTCTGCACTTTCTCTAAGAGACTCTTAAGGCAATTCACAGTGGAAGCCTAAGAACCTAAGTAGGTCAGCTCTCTATCGCAAGCCTTCAGAACAGAGACTCTGGAAGGGAGTAGCCCCTTTATCAGCTGAAGCCATCTGGTAGGTTCATTGCAGATGGGTTAGTTACTGCTGTCCTGTTAGAACTAAATTGTCACTAAAATTATATAGTTGACTGTCACTGGGCTCCTTTACTTTTTACTTTTTTTGTACCAAGGCACATGTGGAGTTGAGAGAACAGTATGCAGGAGTCCATTTTCTCCTTCCACCATGTGGGCTCTGAAAACCAAGTTCAAGTGTCGGGCTTGGTGGCAGATGCCTTTCTCACTGAGCCATCTCCCTGGGCCCCCCACCTTCCCTTTTTAAGACATGACTCAGACACCTGTGTAAGCTCCCTTAAATCTGAGTTCTATTTATTTGTGGAGCTATGCCTTGGTCCCTCTTTGGGGAACCCCATTCTGGTGGAGTTTCTTCTCTTTACTATCTAAAAGTTAGTAAGCTATTATAATCTATTGGGTCACTTCTCTTAATAGATTTGAGGGTTATTTTCAAACAACTGAATCTTTATTTCTGAATTTCAGATTAAATGCTTATTGATAATTTTTTTTCCACATGAAAATTTTAGTTGACAAGTACAAATGGCTCAAAGTCTAATCCTGAATTCTTTCTCAACTAGTCTGTTATGCTTAGTGCTTAGTTGTGTGAGATTGACACATCAGTGCAAAGTGTATGTGGGGGGTGTGCATGCCAGTGTTCCCTCAAGAGCTTGATTCTTTTTAATCACCACTTCTTCTTGGGTCCTCAAATATTTGAAGGACCTGTCCAGAGTCCAAATGCTGACAAGACTGTTTCCACAGAGGATGTTCACCTTGTGTACAGCCTTAGATCCATTGGTGTGATGCTGGTGAAAGATGTATTGCTTTGGTTGGGAAAGTATTTCCTGAATTTAGTAATAGTTTAACACTTTCCTCCTGCTTGGGGTAGGGTATCTTTATATTTTACTGAATTTTTAGGCCACTTTTATTACTTTTTTCTACCCTTTGATGGTAGGATGTGAAATATGTAAGGCTGTTTTTCCTTCTCTCTCCAGGTGGTCTTCGAGGAATAGCACGCGGTGGCCTGGCAGGACTGACACTCACCAGTCTCTATGCACTATATAACAACTGGGAGCACATGAAAGGTTCCCTGCTCCAACAGTCACTCTGAAGACTTTACCACCTCAGGGATGGGGGACATTTCATAGTTATCCAGACTGATTAATAAGTCAGTCTGGAATTGCTTTTCCTACAATTACTTTGAACAATTGGAGACTCTGATTTGCTGTGATGAAGATCATGGATGGTTAGCCTGGACTGCGCTGCTTGCCCTTAGTGAGTGGAAGCCAGACCCTTCAGTGACTCACTGAGTATGTGTTCTCTTCTCTTTTGGAGATGGTCTTACAACTGTTTTTTCTCCTACCCCCAACCTGGAAAACCACTTACTCTCCAAATTCAGGCCATACTTCAACACTTTTATCACCATGTTTATCAAAACTAATGTTGCCCTGTATTCCAAATAAAGGGTGAAAATAGAACCAAAGTCATAATTCCAGAATGAAACATAGTATCTCCATTTAATAACATCTGGGTGGGAAGGGAGATGGTTTTTTGGATAAATCACTTGCTTTGCAAATATGGAGACCTGAGTTTAGACAACCCCCCCACATGTTCAACAGGTGTGGCAGCCCACCTACAATTCCAGTGCTCAGAGACAGGATCCTTGGAGCAAGCTGACTAGCTAGGTACAAGTGAGATTTTGCTTCCAGTATATAAGATGAATACCAGAGAAAGATGCCACAGTGAACCTCTGGCAAGGAAGGGCACACACGTACACAGATAACTGAGTATGAAATGACGGCCTTTTTTCCTGCCAGAATTGTGCCCAAACAATGTCTTTGTGTTTATGGTGAAATGAAGGACTACTGATAGCATAAACAGCTAACATTAAAGAGCCTCAAGATATTTTCTTAGTTAGTCATTAGAGTAGTATGCTAAAATACAACACTCTGTCCCAGCAGTTAAAAAGCCTGGAAAAACTAAGTGGGGGGGGGGGGGGGAACCACATAGCTACACTACAAGGTACATAACCTGATAATTACTAAGCAAACTCTGGCTATATGGTTGGGAAAAATAAACTAGGACCTTTTAATGTATCTAATAAAAAGGGAATCTGGTAGAAAAGTACTAAACCAGTAGCCAAGTTGCACTGTTGTATACGTGTGTTCGTTTTTTAGAGAGAGCCTGAAAGTGGTAAGATTCATAAACTATACCCTCCTTGCATGTTTATATTGTTTATTGCATCCTTAACCAAACATTAATGTTTTGAGCTTTATAGATAACACAAACAACTGTGGTGTGGCCATTATGCCTTTAATGGAGATATAAAACTTAGCAATGCAAAAGAATGTTTAATATATTATTAGCATAGTGATTAACTTAAATTACGTTTTAATAATGTAAAATACAGTGTGTTAGACCTCAAAAGAGAAACTACAAAGTTCCCTGCAACCTAAGATGTTGGGAAGGCTCCTTAAATTGTTTTTATCCACCAACTTATAATACTCAGTGGCATCGGGGGGGGGGGGGGGCATTAAGAAAATATGAGGCTCTTTTCAGCTGTGACTCAAAGTTTGGTAAAGCTGTGTGGTAATGTCACTATGGGGCCATAAAATTTTCCTACAGGTACTTCCAATAGCATAGGCAGTTAGTTCAGAGGCTTCATAGTTCAGAGCATAGAAAGCAGCTAAGTTGTCCTGGAGAACTGGAGAACATAAATCCTGCTACTCTCCTGCAGAGTATGTCATTCTATGCAGTTTCAATAAACACTCCAAGGCACAAGTGTTGAGCACAGCCTATTAATAAGGTGTTGCTGCACCATACTTTTGGAGGTTCCGGATGCTGTGCTTGAAGTGACAGGACATTAACTTCATCCCTAGTCAAGAGCACCAGGTGTCAAGCTCAGCTTCCATTTACACAGGGTGCACCAATAAACCCTTAGGGTGATGAGTGGTCAAGTGCTACTTTCCTAACACATCTTGCCTTTCTGTTTTAGTTGGCCTGGGGCTCTTTAAAGACAAAGTCTGTAAGACTTTAGGGGCTCTGACTGCCCTAAAAAGTGGTCTTGAAGCAATGGAGTCTTTTCAAAGAGCTCACTGGATACTTAGGAATAAAGGCAACAATTGCAGTAGGCTTAATTCTTTTGAATGAAAAATGTTACAAATGACATGTAGGCTAAATTTCTGATAATCAAAAATTGCAATGTAACTAATAGACATTTAGGGGAAAATATATTGGCAAGGTTAATTGTTTGTGTGAAATTATATATCAACTAAACAGAAAAATTTCAAACCATTAGAAGCTCATAGCAAGAGAAAAGAAAATCAAAGTCAGGGAAGTTTACTAGTTTTAGAACACATTAACACACCAGATATAGAAATATTTCAGTTTTAAAACTAGTGTTTGCCATGGGAGTTACTAAAGGCCAGTGTACCAAGATGCTATTTCTAGTATGGGAGTTAGTTAAGTTAGTGCTTCTGTAAGAAGGAATTGAATCACACCATAGCATCAAGCCTCCTTCGCACACTAACTCATAATTTGATGATTTCTGATTACTAGTTCAAAACTAAGCAGGAGAGAAATTAAGCTGTCGGGCCTTGGAATAAACAATGGTTTGGCAAGTCACAGTCACTCAGCTCAAGGATGTGTGGTCTGCAGGAAAGCTGCTCAATTCTAGTAGTTCATTGCTTCACATCTGGAAAAAAAAAAGCCCACAGAAATTTCAGTTCGTTGCAGACAGCAAAATTCTTTCCACTTTGGAATGGACTCAGGTTTTAAGATACTACAATCCATGAGGGGATAAGAAAATTAGGCAGTTAACAGAATGAAATGTCAAATATGATAAAGTTCAAGCATGTAACATTTTAATAGTTTGTGTGTGTGTGTGTGTATTTGATGTACATGGGAGCATGTGTGCTATGGTGCAGATATGGGAGTCAAAGGATAATTTTGTGGAGTCAGTTCTAGCTTTTCATAGGTTCCAGGGATTGGACTCAGGATGTCAGGCACTTTTACTTTAAATTTCAAGGTATTTGTACAAATTAACAGGAATATGGTTCAGTGGGGGAGAGCATAAGTTGGTGAGAAAGGAAACATTTATGAGCAGCTATGACAATGCTGGTGCAGGTACCCACCTGTAGAGGAGTTCTATACAGCCATTTGTCTTTATCAACTTTAAGCTGCATACAGGCAAAGAGATCACAAACTGCTGGGAGGCCACGGAAGTTACGATCTTCTTGCAGGGGTGAATTAAGAAATACTTCCTGTAAGAAGATAACAAAGATGACTACTAGGAGGCATGAGAAAAAAAAAAAAAAAAAAACTCCCAATCAAATGGTAAACAATATAAGTGTTGTCTTTTTCAGCTAAAAACAGGCTGGCCTTTCTTTACTGCAGCATGAAGGCTACAGACTTGGGAAATTTACAAATACAGTGGATTATAAACAATCCATTCAAGTGAGGCAAATCTGATGTCTGCTCACCTGGGCCTTCTTTCGAAGTAACCACTTATCTTCTCCAGAGGTGAACTGGCTGAGGTTTCCCACTTTCTTTCCTGGTAAGACCCAGTCAGCAGTATTAAAAGGACACCAGGAAGTGGCCATAGGACCTTTAAGCATTTCTCTGCCAGCTCTCTCTTCAGTACTAGGCACTTCCTTAGGGCCTCTTCCTTTGCGTGTGGGCCCAATCAGCCACTCTGACAAGGAACTGTTCCTTATGACTTGGAAGGAATCAGCAATTTTAGCAGGAGCCATTGCCTTGGGTGCCTTCACTTGTTCTGTCAGCTCATTTCTGGAAGGGCAGAGCCACAGATTCAGGGACTCTTTGTGTTTCTCAGGCTCAGATTTGGGTTCCACGGGCATTCCATTCTTATCCTTTCCTTCTTTCTTCAGAAGCCATTTATACACCGCTTCCTTCTCACAGTTGTCATCACACAAGCAGTCTGCAAAACTTGTGCAGGGCTCATTGGCTTTGCATACTTCCTCTACTTTACATGGGTCCTGATGGTTCTGGACAAGCCAACCCTCGGTGGTCACACTGGGGACTGACAATGGTTTTTTGGCCTCCAAGTGGTCATTCAGGCATTTCAGATTGCCCAGGTTCTCAATCTCCACACCTCTGGGCTGGTTACCCTGACAGTTGGTACAGGAGTCAGGCTTGGCAAGCCAATCATTTACATTGTAGGGCTCTTTGAATGCCTGGAATAAGAGTTTAAACTTCTCACTGGGGTCACAGCCACCATTCTCAGGCTTCTCCGGTTCACAGGGCTCTCGGGGAGTCACCAACCAATCAGACAGGTCTAACTCATCTTGATCAAGGAGCTCTACATCTTCAACCTTTTCCACTTCAGTAGAGAAAGAGCTGGTGCTACAATGGCTGTTACACTTTGATGAACTTGGTTTTCCAGGACTGTCTTGTTGATGACTGTTGAGGAGCCAGTTTTCTAAGCCCTTTATGTTGCCCCAGGCATTACTGAAGAAACTGCAGGCTCTGGCAGAAGTCTATACAAGAAGTAACCAACACTAATGTTTAACTTGCCAGAAAGCATATTAAAATATACATTTACATGAAAATTCCACTTTCTGCAATCTTTTACAAGTATGAAATGGAAACTATGGAGTTTTCAATTTCAGAAAAGGAAACTAGTTTTCATATAATGCCAGTATTATAGGTCAGACAAATTCAAAGTCTGACAAGCATAAAAGTATTCAACCGCTTCAAAAGCAAAATTAATACTCTGTGAAAATCAAAGAAGGAAACAAACTTGTACACAACTACCACTAACCCAGGCATTGGTGGCACACACCTTTAATACCAGCACTCAGGAGGGAGGGGTAGGCGGATCTCTATGATTTCAAGGCCAGCCTGGTCTACAGAGTGAGTTCCAGGACAGGCTCCAAAGCAATACAAAGAAACCCTGTCTCAAAAAACAAACAAAAAGACCAACTACCACTATTGAAGAGGTTTGATGATTGTGACAATTTGGATGAGAATGACCCCATAGGCTCATATATTTGAATGTTTGGTTTCCAGGTAATGGGCTGTTTTAGGAAGAAGGAGGTGTGGGGTTGTTGGATGAGGTGTATTCACTGGGTGCGGTTTTGAAGGTCCAGTGTCTATCTGTCTCTCTACTCCAACTTACAGGTAAGATATAAGCTCTCAGCTACTGCTCCAGCACCATGCTCACCTGCCTGCCTGCCTGCCTGCTGCCATACTCTTTGCCATTATGGGTCATAGACTTACCCTCTGAAATACTAAGCAAGCAGCCTATTAAATGTTTTCGTTTAGAAGTTGCCTTGGACCTGGTATCTCTTCACAGCATACAGAAAAATAACTAAGAGTGGCAAATACTCCACTGGTAAGAATACTAACTATTAACCATACTGGCAAATGTAGCAAAAGTCAAAAGGGTACATAAGCAGAATAACAGCTTAGGAATCCAATTTATAGGAATTTACTCCTAAAGAACTAATTAACTCCTAAAAGTATAGGGGGCAGAATCTTAAGTTCCAGCCAAATGAAGAACTGTATGTGATCAAATATATATTTACCAAAACATAATTTACAGAATGATTTTTATTTACATGTACATATAGAAAATTCTATAAACAAAAATGTCTTAATGTCAGGCTGGAGAGATGGCTCAGCTATTCCTGTTCCAGGGAATCTGACACCCTCACCCAGACATACATGCAAAACACCAATGCACATAATAAAAATAAATACATTTTTAAGAATGTTTTAATGTCACTTCACTAGGGATTATGGTCATGTATTTTGAAAGATTTTTCCCCCCTACACTTCCTACCTAAATATAGTGAAGTGATTTCACTCTTGTAATTAAAGACTAAAACATGCCCATCTATATAATGCTAAAAAACAAAAACTACTGTTAACCCAAACTACCTCAAAAACAATAAAGGCAGCCACACACCTGACTATTCTCCAAGGTCTGTTTTGGGATGAGCCAGTCCTGTGGGTTGGTACTGGGTACATAAGGAGCCTGATGACCAATGGCAGGTTTGCTTACAAGAAGCCATTCGCTGAGAGAAACAGCTGTGCTGCTGGATGTTGATTTCTACAAGCCATAAAACAAGAAAAAGAAAAACTTTGATGCTTAACAAGGCAGTATCAAAATGAACAGAAACAGGGGACCCTAACATTTTAACACTGGGTTACAAGTAACCTTAAAGAAGTCATATGCCTTCCCTGAACTTCAATTTTTAAGGTTTTGTTTTATTGGGCTACTAAAATGGATCAAGCAGGTAAGGGCACATGCCACCAAGCATGATTGACAGATTTTAATTCTCTGGATCCACGTGGGCCTCTGACCTCCACCAGGCACGGTGGCCTATGCATCCTGCCCCCCGCATACCACACATATGCAAATATAATTTTTAAAATTTACTGTGTGTGAGAGGGCACACATACTATGGTATGTGTATGGAGGTCAAAGGACAACTTGGTGGAATTGGACCTCTCCTTCCAACTTTATACAGCTTCTTCAGATTGAACTCAGATAACCTGCAGGGTAAGCCTTTACCTCCTAAGCCACCTTACCAGTCCCAATTTTCACAATTATAAAACAAGACCAGGGATGGAACTGCACACCTGGGAGATCACTCTGGGAGATCAAGGCAGGACAGTTCCAAGTTGATGGTAGCTTGGGCTACATAACTAGTCTAAGTCAGACTGTTATGTTTGGTTAGAGGCTGTCTTAAAGCCACACAGCTGATTACTAGAGTCCTAACTCAGATGTCTTCAATTTTTTATTCACTTGCTTTTACAAACAATCTGAATTAAAGACTCCCAAAAGGAACCAATATCAGTAACAATGTTAATAATTACCATTGAACTAATTATTTTTCTCATTAAATTATAAAACAACTAATTCTAGTTTACATTTGGTGCTTTAAGAGAGGCATTCAAGTGGATGCTTTTTAACAAAAAATGCTTAGAATGACAAGAGAATTCATAAAGTAATTACTAAAATCAAAACTGCAGTTTACCTGCTCTGGCACCTGGATACAGCCTCTTTTCTCTAGGAAAGGCCCAATATTTGAAGAGCTAGCATGAGCCATCAGGTGCTCAGGAATTTGCTATCAAAAAGAAGAGAATCGTGTTGTTATGCTTTTCTACCAAAATAAAAGTGATAGTATAATCCTGAAATTTCAAAGCCACTGAGCAAAACATTCTATTTTCATTGAAGTATTATCCACTGTAAATCCAACAGGCTATAAGATAATGATCAGTTTGAGTTATCTAAGAATCTTCCCTATACTTGGAAGTAGCATGATTTACACAAGACCCAAATGATACTACACCATTCAAATCATAATACTTATTTTTAAATGTGTCAGAATAGCTTTAAAGAGGATGAGCCCTAAGTATTCTCAGTGAATTAGTAACAATCCCCAAACTGCCAACCTACAGTTCTGATTTAATCAGTATATTACTAAAGGTCACTGCCTCTAGCAAGCTACCATCCCAGAGGCTATCGACTTGAAAAGTACCCCATGAGATAAATTAACATTTCTTACAATTGTCTTAAGGGATCCAAATGTGGTGATGGTCTGGCGCAGAGCAGATGTGTCTGCTTCAAAGAGTAGGACAGTCGAGTCTTCAGGCTTAAGGGCCAAACTGCTCAGTCTATGAAAGTGATAGAATTTAGATATTTCCGGAGAGTTACCAGCATTAGCAAGTATAACATTAAATACAAAGAATATATGACTTGCTTTTTATACCTACAAGAGTAGACCAAAGTCAAAACAAGTAAAAGGTCCTTTACCTTTCCAGGCACAGAGAGACTTGATTGGCGAGATCTTTGTTCTGGGTGTACTCCAGTTGATGAATAAGACAACTGAATTGGCCCATTAGCTACAAGAAACATGAAACCATCTAGTCACAATATTAATAGTATCCAAACTAATAACATTTACACTTTTATCTGGCATATTAATAATACAAAGCAGATAAAACATCTGGAATCCAGAAAGCATAACTCAACCCATTTAGCCATGTAGTCACCTTACCCAATAAAGCTGCTGAGCCTGTTGCTGCAGTGTCTCCTCTTTAAGCTGATAGATGAGATCTACCTGTTCGTTGAGCCACACCTCACGACTCCGAAGGCATTCTAGATGGCGACTTATGCAACTGTGAATCTGAGCTTTTACCTAGGAAATGCATGATAGTATAAACTAGTGTTATAAGGCAAGGAATGACAATCCCCATAAAATACTAATGCTCTTAAACTTTTCAATATATACACAAAAATCAGCCTACAATTCAGCAATCCCATGAAGTCCTATGAATCCTAGTTAAAGAATTCAAGGCTATAAAAAGTGTACCTAACTTCTAAAATCCTCCTTCACACCTCCTCCTCAGAAGAGCAGGCTTACTTTGCATATCAGCAATCAAAAGAAAAAGATATGCCATGGCTACTAATCCCCCTCAACTTTCGTGACAACTTTAAGCTTTACAAATGGTACATGCCTTTAATCCCAGCACTGAGGAGGCAGAAGCAGGTGGGTCTCTCTCTCTGTAAATTCCAAGCAAGCCTGATCTACACAGTTCAGTTCAGCCAAAGCTACACAGATAAACCATGTCTCAGAACAACCTCCTCCACCAAAAAGAAGAAAAGAAAGGAAGGGAAATGAAAGGAAGAAAGAAAGAAAAAGAAAGAAAGAAGACAGACACTCTTGAGCTAGTCTGTGTCCTTTTTCCTACATGCAGGGAATAAGCAGTCCATTAAGCTAGTTTAGCATGAGCTATCTCATCAAAAGCAAGGAGACCATTAAGGTAGATAGTTTAGGTAAATTATAAACTAATGTTTCCAAGAATGTATGCAATGACTCACATTTTTTTCTATATACAAACATTTTGAGGGAAAAATTCAAAACAGCTATAAATCATTCATAGGCATTCATGTAAATATCTCAGTGTATCATAAAAGTTCCCCTTTGGAAAAAGTTTTCAAGTGATATGTACTTGATTGAAGCACTCACCAGCAGAATGCTATTGGAACTAACAAATTTCATTCTGACTTGCAGAGTGACACTCTAGAGACTATACCACTTAAAGCATGCTATGAACATGTTAAATTAAATGGGGACATAACTAAGTGCCATTTTTTCGTATATCAAAATGGTACAGCTATGCCAGGCATTATTAACACATGCCTTTAATCCCAGCATGAGAGAAGCAAGCAGATCACTGAGTTCCTGGCAGTCTGATCTACATAGTGAATTCCAAGATCCTGTCTCCAAAAAAAAAAGAAAAAAGAAAAGTAGCTAAGCAGAAGCAGAATACTCTTCTCTCTCTTTGTTACTTTGCATGACTAGGTACAAGAGCCACACAAAGGAGCAATCAACACACGTGCCATGCCAAAATGGTAAATCTCAAAGTAGAATCTCCAATTCTTCCAGCATCTGACTTATTTCCCTGTGGGATCAAAAGTTCTAACATGCCAGGCAGAGGGTTAATTAGGGTTAAGCATGTGCAAGATATGGGATCAAACTTTCTGGGTGGCACTGAGAAGGTAAGTCCTCAGAAATTAAGTGCCCTAAGGAGCCTTGTGCTACAGCCAGACCAAAGACTAGACAGCACACAGCACACCTCTCGTAAGTTATCTTTAATCTGCTGTTCAGCCCGGAGTACTCCACCAATAGCAAGCTCCAGCTCCCTCCGTGCATCACTGCACCTCAAAAGGGTTTCTCTGTTACTGTGGCAGCCACTCTGTTCCAGGGAAGTATTCATTCTGCTTACTGTTCCTTTAAAAGAAAGAAAGAAATTCAAATAGCATCATAATTACAGTCCCAAACCACTTTTCAATTATGGCTCAAATGGTTACTCCAACCAGCTCTCATTACTAACAACTTTGGGGATTTCCAACACACATATTCAATGCACACATATTGCCTCCCTTCCCTATCTAACCTGTTCCTGCTAGAAAATTCTAGCAGGGTGGTGGTGGCATATGCCTTTAATCCTAACACTCTGGAGACAAAGGCAGGCAATCTCTGAGTTCGAGGCCAGCCTGATCTACAGAACTTCAAGAGCTCCAGGGCTACAAAGAGAAACCCTGCCTCAAGAAGCGGGGAAGGGTTCTATGATTACTTTGGGGGACAATTTGCATGTGAACATAATTATCTGAGGAAATATACCAGTGGTGCTGAATTAACAGGACACATACTGGTCAAAGTGTTAAAAGAACATTAAACCACTTTTGGTAATGAGGGTTTTAATCCTGACATTGGGTGGAGAATAGACTCATGGCAAACAGGGCTACACAGCACTGAGACTTTGTCTCAAAAGACAACAAAACAAAAACAAAAATCAATAGGACTCTGAACTACAGATGTGGCTCAACACAAAAATAAGTCTTTTACCATGTGTGATTCCCTGGGTTTTGTCCCTGCAACTACAAAATAATAATAAATGACAAAAAAAAAAATGGACTTGAGATATCAAAGAGGATATAAAGCTAATTATTCTGCAGGTTCAAATTCTGTCACAGATGTTTGTCTGTTTTGGTGATAAAATTAAGTGCATAAAAATATATTTGATAGTGAAAAGTATAAAATTAGCTCGAACACTGCTTAGAGCTGTATTTGTCTGAAATTAGTTAAGGAGATTTTGAGAGGTGATTTTAAAAATGTTAGCATAGGAACTGGAAAGATTGTTCCGGAGTTAAGAGTCCCTGTCCCTCTTTCAGAGGACCAGGGTTCAATTCCCAGCACCCATCTCAGGTGGCCTACAACCATCTATAACTACAGCTCCACCTTCTTCTGGGCTCCTGGACACCACATAACAGGATGGACAGACACACAGAAGGTTCTTTTTTTTTTTTTTTTTAATAGTATTATAGGGGGATGGAGAGATGGCTCAGCAGTTAAGAGCACTGGCTGCTTTTCCAGAGGCTCTGGGTTCAATTCCCAGCATCCACATGGCAGCAGCTCACAACTGTCTGTAACTCCAGTTCCAGGGGACCTAATACCCTCACACAGAGGATATACATGGAAGCAAAACACCAACGCATGTAAAACAAAACTAAGCCATTAAAAAAATAATATAGCTAGAGAGTTTTCTTGAGCATAAACTGACAAAATAATTCCATGTAATTTAAATATAAAAGAGATCTTTAAAAAATGATTTAGTGTGGGTTCTCTAATAGGACTGGGAGAGAAACCCAAGTGGAAGGAAAAGCAAATGATACACTGAGATGAACAGTAGGCTGTCAGTAAAGCGATGAAGCAGACTTGACCAAGTTCACTGGAACAACAATCTGGCACTTAACTTGCATAGATGGAGAATTAAAATACGGTTTATAAACACTCAGAAAAAACAAGTGCAGGGATGGGGCTGTAGCTCCGAAGGCAGAGTGCTTGCTTAGCATGTACGAAGCCCCTGGTTTGACCGGAGGCACTGTATAACAGGCATGGTGGTACGTGCCCATAACCCTCTGTCTCCTGAGACAGAGGCAGGAAGGTTAGAAATTCACAGCCATCTGATTATCCACCCTCAACTACACAGTAAAAAAAAGCCAGTGATAGTCACTAGCCCAAAAGAGGTCAACCAGGCTTCTGTGTAGGGTTTTTTATGAATACCTGTTTAATTACTGTAATTGAAAACATCAAAGGCAGATATTAGAAAAAACATAGATCTGTAATAGAAACAGAATCCAAAACTAGTCCTACATAGCTTTAAACTTACTAAGGCAAATAGAATTTATGAGGATATCTAAAAGAGAAAAGAAAAAAAAAAAAGATGGAGACCTTCTGAGTTGGTACTGTACTGGGAGATTTAATTTAAATGTTATTTAGATATGTTTGCCACAAGGCTACTCTGTCCCATGATTAGATTAAAAAATTATTTCTGAGTAACATTCTTTGGAGACATTTAGAAAAGGGAAGGAGGCCTCAAAACCATAGAGGGAGGAAAACATCTCTACACAGGAAGGCTGTTTGGCCTAGATAAGCAACTCTCTGGGAGGACATGATTACCACTCTCTAATACTTGGAAGACATGTTGAGTAGAATTAGACTTCTTCAAATAGCCCCAAGGAAAGGAGGGAATGGCTTAACAGACTGCCTAAGTAACAGTCCTGAATGCAATGACTTCAGAGAAGCCTGCTTTGGACTCAGCAAGAGTACCCTGCTCAGTCGGGTCACAATGGCTGACTGCCCATTTGAGGCAAAGGGATATTTTGGACTGGCTTTGACAGCATCCAAGGCTAGATTTCACATCAGGCTGAAAGCTGGTTAGGGCTGAGTTACCACACTCAGAAATAAACTGGGGGCTGGAGAGATGGCTCTGTTCTTCCAGAGGACCAGGGTTCAATTTCCAGCATACACATGGTGGCTCGCAACCATTTGTAACTACAGTCTCAGGGTGTCCCCAGACACTATTCATGCAAGTGACTGATACAGAGACATAAATACAGACAAAACACCCATACACATAAAACAATGTTTAAAAAGGAAAGAAGAAACCGAGGCTCAGCAGCCTTCCTTACCCCCTTCCCACTTCAGCAAAAGACTCAGATAGAGGAACTTCTGAGTTCCTATCGAAACTCAGTCAGTTCCCTAACTTCCTACTTGCTAATTCTGTTACCTTGGTTTGTTTACCCACAATGACCTACAGAAGAAGGGGTTTCCTCGGTTACATTTGTCAGAAGCCCCCACGGAATTTTTCCTAACCCTGGAAACAGCAGCTGTACTAATTTGTGTTTCCATTCCATATAATTGGGCTCATACTGTAGGGTCTTTGAAAAACCCTGCCAACAATAATGTTGGAATGTTGAATGTCACCACATTACCATGGGTTGTTCCACACTCATCTGTTACCCGTGCATTACTTATAGAGCTATTTTCTCAACAGTCTTCCCTGTGCCAAACTTCTCAGACCCTCACTTGTGTGGAATGCTGCAATGCTTTAATTAAAATATTGCTTTACATGGCATGAAAAACTCACAACTCCACAACAAGCCAGAAACACTCAAATACAACAAGAGCAGACTTGAGCCTTAACAGGAATCTTTTAAATCTAATCACAAGCATGTTCAGCTGCCCAGGAGTGGACTGAGATCTCAGCACTCAGTTGGCTAAGACAAGACGGCAGAGAGTTCAAAGCCAGTCTGGATTACATAGTGAATTCTAAGACATCCTGGTCTACAATGTGAAATTGTCTAACAAAACAAAAAAATACCTAGTTTATTTTTTTTTCTTGTCAGCAATGAGAAGTTATAAAACTTTTTCAACTTAAAATAGGTACTGTATTTCAAATAGGTACTGTGTTTCAAGCACAATCATCTTGTTAAAATTCACAATCCTATGGTCTCAGCCTCATAACACTTGGATTACAGGTATGAAATCCTGCTGGCTGCCACTCCAGATTATAAGAATGAGGTCATTACAGCTAGGCAGTGGTAGTACATGTTTTTAATCCAAGCACTTGGTAGGCAGGGGCAGGTGGATTTCTATGAGTTGGAGGCCAGCCTGGTCTACAGAGTGAGTTCTAGGGCAGTCAGGGCTACACAGGGAAACCCTGTCTCAAACAGACAAAACAAAGGAAGAAAGGGCCATCACAAACAACTACACACAGAAGACTGAACCGAGCTTAAAGTGAGAGGGCATCTGGGATGAGTACTTATCTGCCCCCATATGCCATGTTATTGTCTGTGGCTTTGGGGATCCACCTGCTTCTCAAGTACTGGGATTAAGGGTACTCTTACTTTTACCACTGCAGTTGACACTGTTAGGAGGTTTTGCTGATGGAAAACTTAGAAATTTCCAACTCTTGGGGCTGGAGAGATGGTTCAGTGGTTAAGAACACTAGCTCATCTTCAAGAGGTCCGGAGTTCAATTCCCAGCAACCACATGATGGCTCACAACCATCTGTAATGAGAAATGGTGTCCTATTCTGGCCCGCAAGGACACATGCAGACAGAATACTGTATATATAATAAATAAATCTTAAAAAAAAAAACTTGCACCTCTTCAGTGCAGACAGTGGTACAGAAGTCTGAAAGTCTGGCCATGGTGTGATATTTCTTTAATGCCAGCAATCGGAAGACAGATCCCTCTGTTCAAGGTCAGTCCTGGTCTATAGAGTAAGAGCCAGGGCTACAAAGAAACCCTGCCTAGAAAACCAAAAAAAGAAATGGAGGGGAGGGAGAGAGGGAGAGACAGAGAATGCAGTACTGAACCTGACATTGGCTAGCCAGGGACGAGGCCTGGACTGAGAATCCTTTAGCCACTTAGTACTATGACCATGAGCCACCATTTTCACCTTTTCAACATGGCATCCTAGTTAAGTGAAGACTATGCTATATATGCAAAACTTAAGCAGTACTATACACAAAGCAAAATCTCAACAGTCTAAACCATACGTGTGTGTGTGTGTGTGTGTGTGTGTTTGTGTGTTTGTGTGGGTTATATAAGATATATGGATATCAAGTTACACATTTTTTCTCCCTTTTAGTTTGGATGTGTGTGTGTAGTGTATTCATAGGAGCAGTGTGTTTGGGGGGGCATTCCTCTACTTGTTACCTAACAAAGTGAATCAAGCAGGCCCTAATCCTAAAATTCAACTTAAAATTCTAAAAAGGCCCTTTTATCTTCACCTTAATAATGCAAACTACTGCTCTAGCACTTCCAAACAAGAATTGAACTATATTAAATTTTTCCAGAGTTGTGTATGTGTATGTTTTGTGTTTGTTTTAACTCCTTTGTTTCTCGGACACCTGCACTAAGTTTTAAGAGTACTGGGAAAATGTGAAAAAAACACACCCAATCCTCAAACATCACCATCCCCCCAAAACCAAGACCCTCAAGTTTGTAAGGGGGCAGTATGTATATGTAACACACATATCTAGTTATTAAGTCCGAATATCTTTAAACCAGTATTGAGCAACCAACCACAAACTAAAGATAACTTGATATCATATGCTTTGACCATGAGATTTCCAAAAAGCTGTAATTCTCATGACCCACATTAACCACAAACTGAAAGATGGAAAAGTTTACTGTGGGCATAGCTCAGTGGGAAAATGTTTAACATGTCCAAAGTCCTGAGTTCAACTCTCAACACCAATAATACAGCTAAATAAAGCCTTTGCTATTTTACACAGGACCCACATTTCATGAAGCCAAATGTCTACATGGTAGAAATGCATTTGTGTGTGTATATATATATATAGAATGATAAGATTTATTTTTATTATATGTGTATGGGTGTTTTGTTTGCATAAAGAAGTGCACTATGTGTGTGACTTACACCTTGGAGGCCAAAAAGCATCGGATCTCTGGAACTGGGGTTATGCATAGTGGAGCCATTTGGAGCTGCGTGCGACCAACCAGGCGCCTCAGCAAGACAAGCAGAACTGTTTCCCCAGCACCTAAATGGCCTGCCCTTTCAGAGGGTCACAGGCACTGGGTGAGACTTGGATTCAGAATTAGGGTTCTTAAGGTCAAGTCCTGTGTTAGCTCCTCTACCTTTACAGTATCGCTACCCATGAATTATGCTTATCAAAATCAGAGTTTAAAATTAATGTTTCAATGGTTTACTAATAACTTTCATAGTCTCAATACATTTTATAGTCCTTGATAAATTATAAGCAATGTTTCAGGACCATAGCTTGTATGACAACTACAAAAAAAAAAAAAAAAAAAAAAATACAAAGACTAAGGATAGGCTCAGAATCATCAGAATACTACCAAGCACCAATGCCAGCAGGAAGGACTGAAGAAAAGAGCCTTCAGTGCCAGCATCTGTATGCAATCACAGCTACTGACTCAATCAAGGGTTAAAACAGATTATCTTTTTTTAATTAAACACGGGACTCACTAAGTTGACCAAGCCTGTCTCTGTTTCCAGAGTGCTGGGTTAAAGGCGGGTGCCACCACACCTGGCTAGAAGAGATTATCTCTTAACACTACCCTCCAGCTCTTTCTGTGTCAGCCTGCTGCACTCTGCTTCCAAGAAAGCCCTCCACTTTGTATTGATTTTCCTGGCAGTTGAGTCAATAAAGCCAAGAAGGTCATAATGTACCCATAGGACATATATTTGTTCTGTGGGTCACAAGTTTGAAATACTGTCAGCTACGTTATCTTTGAAGAGACAACCTACATGAGACCGTTTGTAAAATTTGCAGTGAAAAAGCTATTAATTTAGTAACACTTTAAAGTGGTATTTTGCAATTTTACCTTGAGCCATTTCTTGGCTTTGCTCTTTCTTCTGTCAGTGAAAAAAGTTTTTTGAATCACAACACACTATCTCAAAGATTATCCAGATCTTAAGCTGAATCCACTTCAAATTCTCTACCTTTGGCAGCGCTCTAATTTACCTGATTTCACACATAGTTACTAGACCCCCAACATAGAAATTCTAAGCAGTAACCGAAAAACGGTCGCAAAATTCCGCCACCTAATGGCAAAACTAAGGTTTTTCCTGGTTCAAAAACTAAAAAAACTAACGGTAAAATTAAGCTAGAGCAACAATGACTCAAACAGCTTTCTAGGCTTCCCGCTGCCCTTTCTAGGAGCGGCTGTGAAACCGGTCTCCCAGGCTCCCCGCACGCAGGCGCGCTCTCCTGCGGCAGATGGCGGGCTTACCTCGCAGTCCGGTCCCGCGACGCAAAACTACTGCGTGAGCGCGATCAGCTGCCCTTTTACCCTATGGGCAGGTCAGGTGCCCGGGCAGGAGGCGCCCCGCCCCGCCCCGCACACGTCACGCCTCCCCTCCCCCGCTACTCCGCCCACCACACTCGCCTCGGTGGGCCTCGGGCCCCTAGGTTCCTCCGGCAGCCTCTGCAGCCAGCTCAGCCTGCAGGCGAATTGCGTTAACAGTCCACCTGCTGCTGGGGTTCACCCCAGAGCTATTTCGATTTGGTTAGTTTGGGGATTCGTCTTGTTTTTTGTTTGATTGTTTGGGTTTTTTAGAGTTTAAAAAAGCTCTTGTTGGAAGGGCAATGATGGCGGCGCACACTCAGAAGGCAGAGGTAGGTAGTCTCTATTGAGTTCAAGGCCAGCATGGTCTACAGTGAGTTCCAGGACAGTCAGGGTTAGTTACACAGAAACCCTGTCTCGAAAATAAAACAAAACTAAAAAGGTTCTTGCTGTGTAACTAAGGCTGGCCTGAGATCCCAGAGGCCTGGGACTGGCAGGATACAAGGGGGGGGGGGGGGGGGTGATCCAGGTCATAGAGAAAAAAATTCTTCTCATCCTGGGATCTACTTCACACATTTTCTGTTGTCTGAGAGTAACACTTCAACATAACTGATAAAACCAAAATTGTCTACAGAAAGTTTGTTTTCCTAAAGACGCTTGAGAAAAAAAGATATCAAAACAACCAATTGCGTAGGTTGTGGTGCTCCAATTTGTAATCTCAACAGTTTCGAGGAGGAAATGGGATCAAGAGTTAAAGGGAAGACAGCCACAGCAGAATTCAAGGTCTGCCTAGGACACCAGTGACAGTTTCAAAGCATTCAAATGAACAAAAACCCTATGCTTACTTAAGGCCAAAATGCCCTTGACAGTTGAGCTGAACTGTATAAACCCTCATCCCTAGCCCCAAACAATACATCTCATAAAACCACCACTGTTCAATCACAACATTAATTCTTTAAACCAGCTTGCGTCATTTTTTACTTAATGTTTGAACTTTACTCAACTTTTAAACTTTCCCTAACCTTTAAACCTTGTTGCAAATTACAACATATGAGCAATGCAACACAGAAAGCCATGGTAGACACTTAGGTGCAAAACTCTGAAGAAGGCTGTACTTGTCTCAGTGTCTACTGCTTGACCTGAGCAGTACATTTCTTATCTCTCTACTTAACAAACTCATTAACTCTGCTTCACTGGGACTAATCCAGACATTCTTTCCTGAGGTGTGGTCAGGATCAAGCCAAGCGCACTGTGAGCTGACTCGGAGAAGAAGCTAGGATAGGAGAACAGGTACTAGCCACATCTGACACCTATTTTCTCTTTTCTATGCATATAAAGTGACTTTTGTGAACATCCAGAGTAAAACAAAACCACGAGAGAAGACCCAAACATCCACAGAACCAAATCCAGACGGCAAGGCCGCAGTTCTGCCTCCTTTACCCCAAAGCACTGTTTCTGAGATCCCAATCAAACTTCTACTAGAAACAAAGAAAACAACTGATTCCAAATATCCTAGTTAGACAACACATTTGGTGAAGGCACAAAGCAGACTAGCTAAATGAAAAAATGTATGGTTCTCTTCATGTCAATGACTGATTCTTAGTTTATTGAAGTAAAACTGATGTTAGGTAAGGTAACCCCAGCAGTCAGGAGGCTACAGCAGGAGACTCATCCTTGCCATTCTAGGCTACATTATGGGCTCAATGACAGTCTATATATACCAAGACCCTGTCTAAAATACTAGGGGGCAAAGAGCACAGCTAATCAGTGTGTGGGGCTGCTGTGATTCTTGACCACTCCATTTTAGTAAACTAATAACATCCCCTCCCTATCCATTCATTCTACCCTGTCCCACTTGGTTCTCTAGTTCTTTCTGCCAGCAGTGTTAGTCCCTTCAAGCTGTCTGCTGTGCACCAGAAGGCCTTTCCTAACCACTAACATTCTTCAGTATTAGCAGCCCATGGAACTTCCACACTGCCTTCTTGTGCATACTGACATCTACATAGATTTCCAGTATGAACCCTTTGACTCAGAGGTGATCCTTTAACAGTTCCTCATGTTGTGGTGACCCCAACCATAAAATTATTCTCATTGCTACTTCATAACTGCAATTTTGCCACTGTTATGAATCATAATGTAAATATCTGCATTTTCCAATGGTCTCAGGTGAGCTCCATGAAAAGGTCATTTGATCCCACAAGTTGAGGACTGCTGCTTTAATACATGATGCCTTTGTTTGGCCTGCCTTCTTAGTCTGAGGGTTTGCTCAGCTTTGAACACCCCCGCACTGTACACACACCTGGTATCATCTGTACCTTGGCATCAAGAACATGCTGTATGTTTGAGAGGGTTGGCTTAATGAGAAAGATGCCCACAGCACTGAACTAATGCCTGGTCTTTAACTTACCAGTGTTTTAATACATCTTTTACTAATGGATGAGTAAATAATGTATTACTGATCAGATACAGAGCAGCCATAATAAAATGTATTTGTTATAAACATAATGAATTTGATGTCTCATTAAGGAGTGTAGTATTAACTTGGGAAAGTCACTTAGAAGAGGAAAAGTTTTCTAACACAACTGGGGGCACCATGCCCAGCCTTGTTAACACTAGGCAACACTTTAAGCTAAACCCTGGCCCCTAGTTTCTAATAGTCACAGTTTGAGCTGGCCTTGAACTCCATATTTCTACCTTCTGCCTGAGCTCCCAGAACTCTGGCAACAACACCCAGATTAACTTAATTCCTTGTTTTCAAACAAAACAGAACTGGTGTGGGTGTCACCACAGAAATCATAATCCCAGTTTTAAGATGGCAACACCTAAAAATCTTAGTTTGTGAGTTTAAATGTTCACTATATTTACCAATTCAACATTTTTCCCTGACTTTGCAATACCACAGGAATTCCAAGTGATGTTAGCAAAAGCTAGGTAGGCTTTCAATCCTAGGGCTGTACCCTATCTTCAACTTGAACTTACTAACCCAAGAGAGGCAAGGATAGGAAAACAGGTTATTTATCTGCACCACATAAGAATACCACCTTAGGCTGGGTGGTGCTGGCGCACGCCTTTAATCCCAGCACTGGAGAGACAGAGACAGAAGGATCTCTGTGAGTTGGAGGCCAGCCTGGTATACAGACAGAATTCCAGAACAGCCAGAGCTGTTACACAGAGAAACCAACTCTTGAAAAACCAATGAGGACAACAACAACAAAAACATTTTATCTCTGGTTTTATATGATAACTATTTTGAGGGTTTTTCCCTATAAGAAGCAAACAGATTTAAAAAAACAAATGTTCCTCTCTAAATCCTGAGAGACTAGCAATAAAACTATAATTGTCCACATATGAAAGGACTTGTTCGTCACTGACAAAGCAAATCCCATTAACCTATTTTGTGAGCTTACTCACCCAACACTGAACCAAAGTGCTAGTTCTGTAGGCAATCAAGGTAATGCCAAATGAAAGAACTATAAGCTCAAAAGCTCCAAGTAGAATCCTAGTCCCCCAGAAAAACATCTTGAGTACACTGTACGATCTAGCCAAGCAAAGCCAGGAAGGCCTACCTGAAGTAAGAATAGTCATGAGCACACCATGAGTCATTCATGCTAGATAGAAGATGAGTACCTACACACTAATTATGTAGCTCACCTGCCTGTGAGTCCATCTAATTCAAGCTGGGATCTGGGGTATATAGACCGAAATGTTAGATTTAACCATCACAGAAGACTAGCTGAGGACAACAATACAACGGCTCCTCTGATAGACAAGCACAGAAACTACTGGAGGTGATACTTCCCCCTGAACAAAACTGCAAAACTTGGCAGCTATCACAGACTTGGACAGGGTTAAATACCATCCATACCTACATCACAAGCTTCCAGGACCAAAAGTCTGAGTCTAACTGCTTCTTAGCCATTTGGCTAAGATCCAGCATGAGTCTAAACACTTCAGCCGCACCAGGTTATTTTGAAGGGACCATTTAATGCTTATATAGTCATTCAGGTATTTGAGGTCTTGAACTGACAGGCACAGTACTGTTGTCCCTGAGGATACAATGGTGAGTCTGCCATCTAGTGGAGAATTTGTGTCACTGGTTCACTGACAACACTAAATTTCTAAATAAGAGGCCCAGTTAAAAAGGAATGACTGTCTCTAAGTGCCTACCGGTATGTTAACACTGTATGGGCAAAGCACCAGAAAACATTAGCCGCAGTCTATGCTCATTTAATAAGCTGCATACTTCTTAAATTAGATAAACCTCCCCTTTAAGAAGCACATTTTCCTTTCTGTAGTGCGATGATTTCCGCTTTTGAAAATATTCTCTCAAAGGAATAATGAAACTGGAGAGACTTAGACAGAGTCGTGATAAAAACCTTACCCACATTACTGTAAATGTCTAGATTATTTTTCTAGAGACTCAAAGACAAAGACCTAATGAAAAGGTTAAAAAAAAAAAAAGAAGAAGTAAATGTAAGATTGTTAAGAGTGCCAGAGGCAACCCATCTCACTGATCTGAACAATTCTGCAAACTAGCAAACCTTCCAAACAGCAAGTCAGCTGGGTGTGGTGGTATGCACCTATGTAATCCCTCAGAGCCAAGAGGATTCCCGAAGCCTGTCTCAAACAAGCAAAACAGGGCTGGAGAGATGGCTTAGTGGCTGCTCTTCCAAGGGGCCAGAGTTCAGGTCTTAGGACCCATATCAGGAGGCTTGCCATGGCTTGTACCTCCAGATATAAGGGGAACTGACACCCTCGTCTTCTTTTTTTTTTTTTTTTTTTAAATTAATTCCATGTGATCTTTAAAGAACTTGTCAGATCCCTTTTAAATCCACAATGCTAATAATAAATATACGGTAATCATGATTTTATTAATAGATAATAAAATATTTAAAGGCTTCTACAATCCATTTAGATAGCTGACCAACGTGACACCCTCTCATTGGTATCTATGCAACTCTTTTATATATTTTTTTTTAATTTTACATATCGATCCCAGTTCCCTCTCCCTCCTATACCCCCCCCAATTCCCCATCCACTCCCTAAGGAGGGTGATGTCTTCTAGGAGAAATCATTAAAATTTGTCAGTTATTTGGGGTAGGACCTAGGCCCTCCCTCCTGTCTCTAGGCTAAAGGAGTATCCCTCCATGGGGAATGTTCTCCCAAAGTCCTTTTGTGCACCAGGGATACATCCTGGTTCCACTGTCAGAGGTCCCTTAGACTGCCCAGGCCTTCTAACTGAGACCCACGTTCAGGGGATCAGCTATCAGACTGGAGTCCATGAGCTCCCCCTTGTTCAGGTCAGCTGTCTCTGTGGGTTTCTGCAGCCTGGTCTTGACCCTTTTGCTCATCACTTCTCCTTCTCTGCAGCTGGATTCCAGGAGTTCGGCTCAGTGTTTAGCTGTGGGTGGACACCCTCTTCTTAAACAAATAAAAGAAATCCAAAGAGCAAATCAAGTAACTTGCTGAGCACCCACACCCTGGCCACACCCAGGGTAGATTTCTTCCCAAGATTCTGATGTACTTTAAAATTCAGAAATGTCACAATGCGGTCCTAACAGAGAACCGGCAGACTCACCTGCCCCATACACACTCAGGGAAATAACTCAAGAGTCCTACAACAACATTCCATATTCCCAAGTGGGTGATAGAAAGTCAAGTCCTGCCGTGATGGTAAGCAGTACCCACCAAACAGCAGTAGTAAGCAAGCTGTGTGTGCTGGGGGTCAGATAACCCCAGCCCTCTGCCTTGTCATTCTTGATCCATCCTCCCAAATTCCAGCCTGTAGCACTAAGGGGACATTGTGTCCACCACAAGCACTTAGTTACGTCAGAGCCAGTTACATCAAAGTCCAATTTCTTACACTGCTATATCCCCGCATCCTGAGCATATAACATTTTATTAATGAATTCCTGAGCAATGAATCAACGACCCTGCAAGCTCGCTCTTCTCGTCAGTAGACGGAAGAAATCAAGCTACTTTGCGGGACTGCTGGAAGAATTAACAGGAATGTTAAGAAATACTGTGTTCGCGACATAGTCAGCCTGCAACATTCCACCAAGCCAAACCATTAGGAATTCCTATCCAAATGTGCTCTGGATCGGTAACGGGAAACAGGCCCACCTGGGACCGGAGGACCAGACAAGAGCCATAGAAACCGGGTTGTCACTTCTGAAAAACCAGGCAGGGGCAGCCAGGAGAGTGTGGGAAGGGATGGAAGAGCATCTTCCCAGGGGCTTCCGGCTGCAAAGAGGCCCAGGGACGGAGCACGTCCACAGGAGGGAGGAGAAAGGACGTGGCAGCGCTTGGGCAAGAAGGAAGAGGTGGTGGTGGCTCCGGGTCGCAGGGGAGGGAGACCTGGAGTGACGCGGGGAAGCAAGGGGCGACCGGGCCCGGCAGACAGACATGCAGACAGGCAGGCAGGCAGGATGGTGGCCCGGGACCCCGCGTGTGTCGGGGAGGAAGGAGGGCAGGGCTGGCCACAGGCCGGGGCGAGGAAGGGCGAAGGGCAGCAAAAGGAAGCGCGCCCGCCGGCCACGCTCGTCCTTACCGGCTGGCAGCGCTTCTCCCGCTGACCCGAGTGGACCTTGGACCGACCCAGACAGCCGGCCGCGGAACGATCGGGGCCCACAACACAGAGTTCTCGCGATACTACGGCCTCCCTACCACGCCTGTGGCTAGTGTTCTGACAGTTTCGCGAGATTTCCTTCCGCGCCTGCGCAAAGCCTCGTTGAGGGGGGTTGCCAACATGCAGACTGGTGGAATTTTTCCCTGCCCCTAATCTGGGTGCTTTCCATGCCGATTTGTAAGTAGGTATTTTGAAGATATGCTATGCCGGATGAAGAAATATGCCAAGTGCACCTCTCGCACCAAATGCTCGCACAAGGTAGATTTTATTTAGCTGTAACATGCATACGCAAGAGTGCGTGTCAGAAGACACAAAAGACCATACACATCGCATGACTCAGGAAGTAAAGGCAAATCCTTTTTAAAAAAAAATTATTTTTACTTAACACATAGTAATTGTACGTTTCTATGAGGTACAGTGTTAACTCACAACGCATGTAAACAATGTGTGGGGATCAGATGTGGATAATTGCTATTTTTATCATTTCTTTGTATTGATAATATAGAATATCCTACCATCTAATTATTTTTGAAGTAGTTAGTCTGGGTGTGGTGGCACCCGGCTGCAATCCCAGCACTTGGGAGGAGGGAGCAAGAGGATGGGAGTTCAAGGCCATCCTCCACTACTGAGAGTTTGAGAAATGAGGGACACAGAGGTATCACAGGATTATTTTCAGTTTAGTCGTCCTACTGTGCTGTAGAATATTAGCTACTATTTCTTCTACCCAACTCTACCCTTGCTAATGCTGCAAGTCAAATTCTTAAGGACAGAAGAAAAAAATGATGCATAGCAGGCTGGAGATAAGGCTGAGTGGAGAGTTAAAGTTTAATAAGTTCCCTTACGGTAGGGGGCTGGAGAGGTGGCTCACAGGTTAAAAGCACTTACTGCTCTCGCAGAGGGCCCAATTTTGGTTCCCAGCACCATCCATAACTCCTGTTCCAGGGATCCAGTGCCTTCTGACCTCCACAGGCACCAGGCATGTATATTTGCATACAAAACAATCATACAAATAAAATCTTTTTCCTGTGGGGCTTTCAGTGGTTTGAATACGAGTAGCCCTCATAGGCTCATATATTTGAATGCTTAGCAGAGAGCATTGGGGTTGGGCTTTGAGACTCCAGACGCCCATGCCAGAACCAGTCAGTGCCTTACTCTCTCTTCCTGCTGCCTGTGGATCTGGATGTAGAACTCTCAGCTACTTCCGACTGCATGCCACCAGGCTCCCCAACATGGTAATAGTGGACTAAACCTCTGAAGCTGTAAGCAAGCTGCTGTGGTCATGGTGCCTCTTCACAGCAAGAGAAACCCTAACTAAGACAGGCTGATGGGGAGCTCTGAGGTTAGATGCACATGATGGCTGTAGAGCAATCTGGTGTTTTTATCTGATGTTTGTTAAGTGGGTAAACACTTAACAAATGGTGGGTGATGCATTTTAACGTAGGAAAAAATGTTACAGGTTTTTATAAAGTACTGAGAAAATAAATCTCAGAATCAATGCTGTCACGAGTTAAAGCCAGGTCTATTTTAGGTGGGCTGTGCATGCCACACATAACTGACCCTAAAGCCAGTCCCCACCACCCACAGAAGTCTGGCATCTGGTTTCTTGTCAGCCTGCATGAGGTTTGGAGGACATGCTGTCTCTAACCCCTTCTAACCTTATGCAAACACAGAGGGACATGGGGATATGGCAGAGAGGACATGCCTGAGTAAGTGGAAGGAAGGATAAACGTGAGTACGAGGGGCAGAGAAGTCTGGTTTCATTGTGAATTTTTCCATTATAAACCAGGAACATCGCAGGCAGAAGAACCTGACATAGCAGAAGTGGTGGGAATGGACATGGCCCCAGAAGAAAGCACACATGCATGAAACCCGTTTGAGCCAGGGAAAATACTGTAATTTGTAACTGGTATTGTTGGGTTGATTTAAAAAAAAAAAAAAATGTGGTTTTATGTCTCCTTTAAATGTGTGTTTGCTTTATAACATGCATTAAGTTAATAGAAACATAATTGGCAAATGTATTTATTTATTTATTTATTTATTTGCATTTTGCATTTTTCAAGACAGGGTTTCTCAGCCAGGGCAGTGGTAGTGCCAATACTTGGGAGGCAGAGGCAGGAGTATCTCTAAGTTCAAGGCCAACCTGGTCTATAAAGAGAGTTCCAGGACAGCCAGGGCTGTTAATACAGAGAAACCCTGTGAAAAATCATACACACACACACCAAATAAACAAAACAAAACAGGGTTTCTTTGTGTGGCCCTCTTTAGACCAGGCTGGCATGAGATCTGCTTGCCTCTGCCTCTGAGTGCTGGGATTATAAGCCACCACCTATAATTGGTAAATTTAAATCACACAGATATTCAAATGTTGCTCATTTTGGGACCCAACAGAAGCACATTTATAAGACCCAGTTTTCAACAAGACAGAACTTTCCTGGGTTCTCCTTTTCTACCACACTATAGGTGCAGTTCTCTGGGTGGAAAACTTGCTGACACTTCTCTTTGTCAAAGTTCACAGGTGTAGCGATTCTGTCAATGAGACAAGACAAGACCTGTTAGAAAGGGGAAAATATTTATTCACCCATCCCTGCTGCTCAAACATGCTTTGTATAAGAGGACCCCACATTCCAGTTGCCTGGGGCAACCCCTACCAACATCAGCGCTTCCTTGGGCTGAAAGTATAGACACTGGGCATCAGTACCTGCTTGTACCATAGAGTCACAGAGACCATCCCTGACATGGGTCATATATTCTACCCTGCACTACTGAAGGGTACGTGCTCACAGGCTCAGGGGCAGATCTGGGAGACTCTGGGACAGCAAAGCTGTTTACCAGCCTTGCCCTTCCCACCCTACCTGTTCCAGGAGCTGTCCGCAACCATGGTGCTGGACTGCAAAGAGAAGGGTGGTGCCAGTCCTGTATGGTGTCTGTTTAGAAGAGGAGCTCACCCACCAACAGGAGCAGAGAGCCATCCCAGGCTGGGGTTGTGGGACCCAGGAAGAAGCCACTGAAGCAAACCTTCCTGGGAAAGCCCAGGGTACATGTAGGGCCACATACAATTTTAGGAGCCATTGCCCTAAAAGCCCAGCTATGGACTTGGGATTTAAATTGTCCTGCCAGAGCCAGACATGGTGGTAAGAAGCACTTGGAGGTAGAGGCAGGAAGATCAGAAGTTTAAAACCAGCCTCAGCTACACAGTGAGTTTGAGACCAGTGTAGGTTGCAGGAGCCCTTATCTCAGCAAACAAAGATAAAGGCTGGAAATGTGTTTAGGGGTTAAAACTACTCGCTGCTCTTTCAGAGGATGGGAGTTTGGTTCACAGCACCCACATTCTGTGCCCCACAAATGCCTGTAGCTCCAGTTCCAGGGGAGTCAACACCTTTTCTGGCCTTCCTAGGTAACTGCATGTATTTGTATACACAGCCACATAGATATCCATACACACATACATATAAATACATAATAAAATAAATCTTCTTTTCCTTTTCTTTCTTTTTCTTTTGCCTTTTTTCTCTTTGTTTTTTGTTTGTTTTGTTTGTTTGAGATAAGGTTTCTCTGTGTAACAGCCCTGACTGGCCTGGAATTCAACTTTGTAGACCAGACTCGCCTTGAACTCAGAAATCCACCTGCTTCTGTTTCCAGAGTGTTGGGATTGAAGTCATGCACCACCACTACCCAGCTAAAATAAACTTAAAAAAAAAAAAAAAAAACAAAGAATAGGGACTGGAGAGATGGCTCAGCGGTTAAGAGCACTGGCTGCTTGCTCTTCCAGAGGTCCTGGGTTCAATTCCCAACAACCACATGTTGGCTCTCAACCATCTGTAATGAGACCTGGCTCTGTCTTCTGGCTTGCAGTCATACCTGCAGTTAGACCATTGTATACATAGTAAATAAATAAATAAATATTTTTAAAAAACAAGGAATAAAATGAGCTGCCCTTCCCAGAGTATATAAAAGCAGTCATTTCAGTGCCTTCTGTAATTATGTCTCAGTATTAAGAATTTTATCCTAAAGGAAAAAGACATTTCAGTCCTCTTCCCCAAGTTGTTTGAATCCATTCATTGATCTCAATTTTCTGGTCCCCAGGACATCTGAATTTGTAGCCCTTGGTGATCCATGTAGAAAGAACATTGCAGGACATGTTCTCACAGTTGACTAGGGCACTGGGCACTCAACCAAAACTTCCATCATGACCCAAACCCATAGGCACACTGCCTTGTGAACGGGAGCCCTGCATCTCCCTCCCCACCATGAAATTATGCCTTTTACTGTAAAGTTCTGGTTTGATCTTTCTTAAGACTAACTGCTGGTTATTTGTAGTCTGTAACATTTTGAAGATGTTTGATAAGGTGGATGGTACGAATACAGACATATTAATTAAACAAAAAAATTAGAGCACAAATTGTAACATAACCAGTAAGGGTGGTACACACCTCTACTTGAGAGGAGAAAGCAGGAGGTTTGCAAGACCAAGGGCAGCTTGAGTATATAGTATATAGTGGGATGTGTATCAAAAAAAAAAAACCAAACAAACAAACAAAAAAAAACTGGATTTGCAAACTTAGTTGGGAAACTAGATGTAAAAGAAAAAGATGTATAAAAAGAAAGAGAAGTAAATTGTTATCAATTCCAAAATTGAGTTCAGGAGGGTGGCAGCATGGCCCTGCCTAGGGAGCTCTTCCACCCCACTGGCCACAGAAGCCCACATCCGTGTTCCCACCAGTCTGCCAGGCTCTGCAGTACTAGTATGGATGCTGACAGTGGGACATGACCACCAAATAAAATTAGTCCTCTATTTACTATGGAAGAAGAGGAGGAGGAGGATGTTTTGGGAAGGATACAATTGAGGAAGAATGAAAGGATGAAATGAGTGGCCATGCAAATTTCTGACATCAATGATGATTTGGAAAGACTGTACTAACATCCTGTTGCATTTTGTTAAGAGAAAGAAAGAAGAGTGAATTATTGACTTGTGGATAAATTATTGCTGAAGCTGAAGGACTGGGTGTTAAAGCCCTGGGCTATGTTGTCCTAATTGAAGTTCTCTTTAATGAGAAGATAAGGGAACAAACTAAGGCATACAGGCTCTGCTTCCTAAGCTTTGCCATAACACAGAGACCTCAGCTGTGCCTTCATCATGGTGTGGAATGTGTGGTAGCAGTGATGAGCTCAGCTTATCTCCAAGAATTCACAAACCCTAAAGGAGAAACATGATGCTGGCCTTTTAGAGTAAGAGGGTATCACCAGCTGGTCAGAAAGGACCTCTAAGAAGTACATCTCTGGAGAACTTGCAAAGAGATTTCAGTCAAAGCAGAACCAAAAATGGTTCTTGTTCCTGGTCATCTATCCCAAAATTATTGTAAAGCATCCTCTAACTTGCTTCACAATTCACTAGCAGTAAAAAGTGGAAGCAACCCAAGTGTTAATCAACTCATGATTGGTAAACAAAATGTGATACCTCAGTTGCATAGAATATCATCCTGTAAGCATGGATGGACCTTGAAAACCTGCTGAGTGCAATAAGCTGGACAGAGAGGTGCTATGGAATTACTGGGGCATTCCAGAATAGGCAGATCTGTAGACAGAAAGCACAGTGAAGGCTACCAGGGGTAGGGTGGAGGAATGGAGATCATTGCTTACTGAATACAGAGTTTCTGTTGGACTCTTTGGGAGTATTAGAAAGAGCAGTGACGGTTGCACAATATTAGAAATACATGGAGTGTTCATGAAGAGTGCAATTGAAAATTGTTTAAATGAAAAATTTTGTGTAATACATTTTGTACTACCAAAACCTATTTTTTAAGTGGGATAGCAAGATGACTCAGTGAGCAAAGATCCTTGCTGCCAAGCTGAGGATCTGAGTTCAATTGTCCATGCATGCCAAGGCACATGCATGTATGCGTGTGCACACACACACACACATACAAAATAAGTCAATTAATGTCATAAATGTCTAAGGGTTGATGATAAAGTAGTGATTGGAACAGAGTACCCATTATTTTTACAGTTTCTGTTAGGAAATGTACCTCTGTCGTTGATGGACAGGTAAGTGTTGCTGTGGCAAAGGGTGTGCTACTGGATGCTTATTTATTTTTTTATTTTTATTTGTGTGTGTATATGCTACAAATGTGCAAGTGGTGGTAGAGGCCAGGAGAGTGTGTAAGATCCATGGAACTAGAGTCACAAGTGGTTATAAGCCATCTGGAAACTAAACTTGGGTCCCTTGGAAAAGCCATCTATCTCTCTAGTCCCTGGATGTATATTGTGATGCAAGCCTGACTTAATAATTGTAGAAAGAACTGTGATAAGAGATGGAGAAGAAAGGTGTAGATATCAGGAGATCAGAAATCCAAAAACTGGAATCTTGATGACCTTAGGCTTTTGATTCCCAAACATCCATTTCCAAGAACCTGGGTCTGGAAAGAACAACAGACAAAGGCCTGAACATCTTCTCTGCCCTTCCCCTGGATACCTCTGCCTGGGTCTTTAGCCCTTAAAATCCACAGATCTGGAAAGCATCCACAGAGGGTGGAAAGGGTCAAGAAATTTCCCATACAGAAAGCTTAACCCAAATCTGCATTTTCTATAGAAAAAGCAAGTTTGTAAGAATAACAGACGCACAGCCTGGACTGCAGTCTAGGTAATGGGTGGGGGGAGCTAGTTTTGAACAGCATTGGCAAAAAGCACATTTTCCCAGGGTGGAGCAGTGCCAAATGGGACAGGCAGTCTGGTAAGGAAAAAAGAAAAGGGCACCTTGAACCTTCACCAAGTGCCAGCCACTGCCAGATTCAAGAGGTATAGACTAAGCACAGAGAAGATCTTAAATGTTTATTGGGTTGATGAATTTATGTACAGGATCTCTTTTAATTCTCATAACCATTTGGATCTGAGACACAGAGACTCAAAACCTTACTCTGGCACACACACAGCTAATATAAGAGGGAGTAAGAGTCAGACTCACGCTACCCTGACTCCAGCATCAGGTTCCTCTCACTTGCTCCTCTTTTCTACCATGAATCCATTGGTAACCACAGAAGAGGTTGCTGTTAAAATTCTGTGATGGCAGTCCTGATGATCCGGGGACACTTAGTCACCATAGAGATCTGTCTCTCATTTTAGGGAGGAATGGTTCACCAGTTTTTAGCCTGTAGGGCTTCAGCCACACTCCAGAGTCACAGCGACAATAATGATAATGATTAATAATAATAATAATAATAATAATAATAATAATAATAATAAAGATTCAGCTAGGACCTCTCTGCCTCACTCATACCACACATGTAAGGCTGCAGTGACCATCGGACCAGCTTCTAGAGTAGATCACTAGATAAACGTGCTTGTCTTTAGGAACCTGTGTGGGAATGGGTGTTTAAGAACAAAGGTGATAGTCAAGCTTTGAAAAAACTTGAAAACAAAAATGAAACCGAGACGAAAGCAAATAACTGCCCGTTAATGGGTGGGTGACTCTAGGTGTTATAGACATACAGTGAAATTTTATGAGCCTGGAAAGGGAGGAACTAACGCCTATGACAACACATATAAACTTTAAGGAAACTATGATCTTTGGAGGAAATATATTATATGATCCACCTTGCACAAGTTTTTACAGCAGGCATGTTTATAAGAGACAGCAGGTGAATACACTGGGCACTGGGGAGTGAGTGATGGATGAATACAAAGTTTTAAATTTCTAATTTGTTGTTTTGTTTTGTTTGTTTGTTTTTGTTGCCTTGGTTTTGTTTGTTTGTCTGTTTTTGAGAAAGAGTCTATGTAGCCCTGACTGTCCTGCAGCTCTCTATGTAGGCCAGGCTGGTTGAGAATTCTAGAGATCTGCTTGCCTGCCTCTGCCTCCCAAGTGCTGAGATCAAAGGCATACACCACATACACCACATGATTTCAACTCTTGTTTTTTTTTTTTTTTTTTTTTTTTTTAAATGGAGGCCTCACTATGTTGTCCAAGCTGACTTAAAATTCCTGAGCTCAAAGCCGTGTGGTGGTGCACACCTTTAACACCAGCACCTGGGAAACTGAGGCAGGCAGATCTCTGATTTCAAGGGCATCCAGGTCTGCACAGGAAGTTCTAGTCCAGCGAGAGCTATACATTGAGGTAATATCAAAACAAAACATCAAATTCCTGAGCTCAAGTGTTACTCCTGCTTCAGCTTCCCAGGTAGCTGGGACTAAAAGGTGAAAAGTCACCAGAGATGGTAAAGGTTCACAACTCTCTGAAACTCCAGGATCCCTCATACATATAGGCAAAAACACCAATAAAATAAAATAAAATAAATTTAAAAAGAAAGAGGGGGAAAAGGGAGGAAGGAAGGAATCAAATGGGTAATGGTGCTCTAAAAACAATAAAAACAAATTAACAAGTTAGCTAGCTCAGTAGGTAAAAGCATTTGCCACGCAAAACTGACACCCTGAGTTCAATTGCTGGAACAAACTAAGGTGGAAGAAGAAACTGACTCCTGAAATTGCCCTCTGACCTCCACACACACTCACCCCCACCCCACCCCTACACACTAAAATGTAAAAATATGTAGAGCTGAATTCAGTTGATAGAGCCTGTGCCTAGCAGGCATGAAGCCCTGAGTTCAATCCCCAGCACAGCGGGGCTACTCAAGACCCTTTCTCAAAACAAAAGCCAACAACAAAACCGTCAGCACAGTGCACTGCTATAGTCCCAGGTTTAAGACCAAGCTCTGCCCTGCTCTAAGTTACTCCATGTTATGAAACACAGGGGGTTTCAGGCCATGCCTTCTGTGGAAGAATCCATTTTACAAGCTGCCTTTCCTTTAGTTTGTGTTCAGAGGAGGAGGCAGGATGGCTTTGCACTTGTCCTGAATGTAAACAGCACCATCCACCCAGCACCACCCACAAGACACACTGCTGAACAGCTTAAAAATAAAAAAGATTCTATCCCAGGGGCCCACAAAACTGTGGAGAGTATTGACTCCGGGAAGCGGTCCTCTGACCTCCACACACACCAATCCCTCTTGTCACAAACACGTGTCTACACTAGTAATGTTTTCTAAAAGGGGGAGGGCTGGAAAAGAACTCCTGACTCCCCGGGGGGCCTACTGTTTGTCTCAATCCCTGCTGCTAAAGCAGCTGAAGGCTCATTCACCTGTTGATCCACCTAGACCCCGTCTGTATTTAGTCTGTGTGGCTTCAGTAGTCCAACTGGGCAGCTCAACTTGACCTGAGGTTCCACTCTAGGTGCATCTACAACAGATTCTCTTTGCATCTCCATTGCATTTCTGCTGGTCCCCAACCCATTTCAACCTTCCAACTCTGCTACATTCTGTCAGCTTTTTATAGCCATTTTGTAATTTGCATGGGCACACACACGCACACACATACATACATACATAGACTTACTGTGTGATGTGTAAAGTATGATCTGAGAGTTAATGGTAGTAATTAAAGTTGTAATAAAGAAAAATATGTTTACCAGTGACTAGCTATCATGGGAAATCGGTACTGCTTGCTTGGCAAACTGTCACCCCCAAACCAAACACACACACACACACACACACACACACGTAAATGGATGTAAATTTTTTTTTGAAAAAGAAATCAATGTAGCTTATGAATTTGCTGTTATTGAATGAATTCTGGCCTTGTGGACAGATGCAAACATGTTTGTCTATGCTTCTCACATCGTGCACACATCACACTCAGCTTACATGGGAGCCTGAGGTTGCAGGATCTCTTGAGCCCTGGAAACTTAAGGAGACTTGGTCAAAAAACCAAACATAAAACAAAGCAGAAACCCTGAAGAGTGGTTATTTGGAACCCTCCAGAATCAGTGGTTGAGACTTACTGGCTGCAGCAGCTAATTGCATCTTGTCCACAGAAACACCTCTTACAGTCCTTCACCCAGAAAGAGTTGATGGGGTGTTTGCCACCATCGGGATCCACGCATTCTAAAATGAAGCAAATTCCCAGGTCACACAACAGGAACAAAGCTCTTAGGGACCCCAGCCAGCCACTGGCACATGACTGCAAGCCATTGTAAAGGTGTCAGAGAGTGCTTTTGTTTTCTAGATGTCAGAGTCCCCCACACTGCAGCACCTGCCTCTGAGAAGTCTTTATTTTTGTTTGGTTGGTGTTTTGTTTTGTTTTTGTTTGTTTCTTTGTCTTTTTTAGACGAGGTATTGCTAAGCAGCCTTGGCTAGCCTGGAAATCTCTGTGTAGACCAGGTTGTCCTCCATCTCATACAGAGTCAACTGCTTCTGCTGAGATTAAAGGCCTGAGCAGTCTGATAATGTTTCTTAAGCAAGCTTAAATCCTTCTAGATTTTATTTCAGAGCAGGTACTGAAGAACAAATAAGCCCTTCCTTTTTAATCAGGTAGGTATTAGGAAGTGGCTGCCAACAGGGGCCCAGCTAGTTCCCTTTGGTTGTCCTGAACAAATCTCTAACTTCTCTACCAGTATTGTTTTGTATCAATGATTCTCAAGGCTGGGTGCACATGAGAAGCATTGTGGATACTTAAAAATCTCCCACAGACTGGGGTGTAGCTCATGCTAGAAGTATTGCGAATGCACAGGGCCCTGGGTTTAATCTCCAGCACCAAAATAAATGAACAAACCCTGTGTGCCTGGTCCCCACCAAAGAACAACAGAACTATAATCTGTGGGTGGAGCCCAGACAGCTTTGTTTACTTTGGTTTCTGTTTTTTGTTTTGTTTTGTTTTGTTTTGGGGAGGGTCACATCATTATTCCAGGCTGGTATTGAACTTCCTATGTACCCAAGAATTGCATTGAACTTTTTTTTTTTAGATTTACTTTATTTTATGTACATGAATGTTTCTCTTGCATGTGTGTAAGGCTATTGCATCGAGAGCAGAGGAGAGTACTAGATGCTCCAGAACAGGAATTACCAACAGTTGTAAACTGCCACATGGGTGCTGGGAACTGAACCTGGGTCCTCTGTAACAGCAGCTAGTGCTCTTAACCACGAAGCCCTCTCCCAGGCCCTGCACTGGACTCAATCCTCCCGTTTGTGACTCATATACAGGGATTACAGGGCGATGCCATCACACCTGTTTTTTGTAGTGCTGGAATTGAACCTAGAACCCCCTGGAATTGAACCCAGAACCCCATACATACTAGGCAGGTCCTCCACCAAGCAGCTGCATCCCCGGCCCTCTGTCTTATTTTTAAAAATGTTCAGCCAGGGTGAGAATCTCCCTTAGATCCAAGTGATCCACCTGAACCCTTCTTTCAGTGTAGTTTCCAAGGCTTCTCACCTGTCATATATACTAGGTCATATCTATAGGTTGTATCTACCAGGCTGCAACAACATTAAAAATACTGGAAAGCTCAGGACTTACCACCAGGCGGTTGGTTTGGAAGTCCCTTACGGTATTCAAGAGAGCACACTGCATTGCATGCTGTCACCAAGGCGGTAAGGAACAGGAGGCTGCCCAGCAGAGCTTTCTGTAATGCAGGGAAAGGTTGGGAGTGGACAATGAGTGATTCTTGAAGGTCATCCTTTACAGAGTGTCCTATAAGATCCCTGCTGAACTCTGACAGGAAGGGCACAGTGTGGAGCAACTGCCAGGTACCCCAGCCTGGCAGTCGGGGACTAAGACGTGAATCAGTGACCTAAAAAGAAAAATCTACTGGGTGTGGTGGCACATGCCTTCAATCCCAGTACTCAAGAGGGAGAGGCCAGCATGATCCACAGAGTGAGTTCCAGGACAGCCAGGACTGACTACAGTTACAAACCCTGTCTCGAAAAATCGAAACCAACCCAGCAAACAAAGCAGAGTTCACTGTGGGGCTGGGAACAGGAAGGATTGTATTGTGAGGGAGCCACATCACTGGCTGTAGCGAGACCTCCTCAGCATTGGCTCTTCTGCTGTTCTGGTTTGTTCTCAGAGGCCTGGGGGCTCTTACACCAGGTGCACATCCTCCTTGTGCCCTTTGACACGAGAAGAGCCATCTCCACCTCCAAAGTTTCTCCCTCTTCCTATAGTTCTCAGATAGTCTCAGCAAAGTGGTGGCTCAGAGTTTGATGGGGCAGACATATTCTGTATTAATGTTTCCTTAAAGAACCTAAAATTAAGTTATAAAATAAGTAGAGAAAATATAGAAATTATGTCATTTTATAAATAAGAGGTTTTAGTGTCTACATGACTAAATAAATGAAGCTAAATTGGTATCAAATTTGGAAAATAGTATATAAAATAATTTCACTAAAACAATGAAAAACATAAATTCACAGTATAAAAGTAGCAAGGCAATAAAGAGTCATCACAGGTGCGCGTGCACACACACACACACACAAATACAGAGCCATAAAGAGTAAAGAGACATCATGCACATGAAGACAGAGAAAGGATCGATAAACACCCAGGGAATTAAAATTACCCAAAGCAAAAGAAATGTGACTGGAGACAGAAGGAAGATGAGAATGCCCTTTAGAATCTGCAGAGGGAAGCAGGCCCACTGGGGCAGTGATGAACACAAGGGGCGTTCCCATGGCAACAGTGTCTGGAGCAATGGATAAGGGTAACTTAAGGCCGCTCACATTTCACTTCTAACATGACCCTGACAACAGCACAGAGGTGAAGGCAGACCCCAGAAAAGGCAGCTCAGCTACTGTAGTGTGGTAGGGTACCATACCACACCCAAGCTAACAGCTGCCTGAGAACACAGAGGCTCACAAGAACAACGATAACAACGACAAAACTCAAAACGAAACTGATGGACTAACAAAGCGGGAAGAGAAAGAAAGCAGGGGCAAGGGACCCACTATGCACCGTGAAATGCAACTCTGCAGGCTGCACAGCAGCCCGGGTGCTGTGAGTACTGCGATACAGGGAGTGTGACCTGGAACTCACAATGTAGCCCAGGCCAGCTGTGAGCTCAGGGCAATCCTCTTGCCCCACCTCCCAAGCGCTGGGTGACAGGCTTGAGCCACCATGCCTGGCTAAGAAGGCATTTTGAGACGAGTGTTGTGACACCCTACCTTTCTTCTTCTCTTCCTCTTTTCTTCTATAGACATCCACCCAACTTAAAACTATAAAGAAATGCACCAGTCTTTCCAAAAGGAAGAAGGAATAAAAGGGAAAAGAAAAGGCCTGACTTAGAGCAGAAGAAGAAATGAGCAAAAAACAAATAACAAAAGACTACATAAAACCGACCATATATTTCACACCAGGACTTAAAATTCATATGTTCTTCATGTTTCATTCTTTTTCTTCCATAACCATAATCATCACCTCAAAACCTTTTTTATTTGGCTTCCAACCCAGCCTGGTGATAGGATTTCTGTGCCCTTAGATAGAAAGAAAACCACTATGCTGCGATGGTCATGGACATTTAGAGTCTTGCTTTACTGAGTCCAGAACAAGAGAGTCAAGGAAGCTGACTGAATCCCAGGGACTGAGCTGTGCTGGACTCCCCTTCTCTAGGCAGACACACAGGCCTAAGCCACTGTGGGATGGGGGCCAAGTATGATAACAAATGGTGCTTTTTTAAATCGTCTGTCTGCCAACTGCACAAATGCTCTCCCTCCCTCCCTCCCTCCTGACCCCTCCTTCTCTCCCTCCCTCCCCCTCTCTCCCCTTCCTCTCTTTTTCTCTTTCCCTCCCTCCCTCCCTTCCCTTCTGTCCCCTTCCCTCATTCCCTTCCTATCCTCCACCCCCTTCTCCTCACTCTCTCTTTTTTCCCCTCCCTCTTTTAGCCCCCTTCTCTCTTTCTAAAAGCCGTGGTTCTTCCTTATGAAGCTAATGAGGAGAAGACAGTCTCAAGGGGAGCCCCACAGGAAAGGACCCACGCTGACCGCTCCCATGAGCACATGAAGAACATGCTCGAAGAGTCACCTTCAGTGGGTCTTCAGGCTTAGGATCTACGCTCCCAGGTGATGCTGAGATCCTATGTGGGGACCATCCAAAGTCGCCTCTCTCCCTGCATGCTGTTCTGCCCTCCCCGCTTGCTGCAGACAGTAGCCATGGACCCCTGATGCATGAGGCACAGGAGACTGAAGGAAACGGGCTTGTGCTGGGGGCTTCTAAGTGGTGTGACTTCGTGACCAGCTTGGATGAAGCAGACTGCTGGTGTCTCCTGAACTGTGTTCCCTTTCATAAGTATCTGCTCCTGGAAAGGAGGGCCCTGCTCGCCATAACCAAGCATCGAGGTTGGATACTGCTAGCTCTGCAGACACCTGAGTTCACTCCCAGGCCTCCTGAAAGGTGCTGGGAGGAGGGGTCTGAGTGCAGGTAGGGAGGGCGCCACCACCCCTCCAGCTCTGTCTGAGAAGGGTTTCATAGAGCACATTTGTCATGAGGTGAGGTGACCCTTCTGAGGTCTTCCTTCCCAGCTCTGCTTCCTTCCTCTGTCCTCCTGTGGGGATCCCCATTCACTCCCTGACTGTGGCTCATAGGAAAGACACTAAGAAAAGAGCCATTTTCAACTAAAGACAGAAGTCCTATGTATGAAGTCAGTCACCCACCATTGTGAAAGGCAGGACTCCTTGCAGGCAGGCACCTCCAGCAAAGCCTCAGGAAGAGTGAGTGCTGGCTCCCTTTTTATACAGGTGAGATGGCCGCATGTAGATCTTCTTGGAAAGACTTTGTTCCGAAAACACAGTATTTACAGAGGGCGGAGCAGGAAGCTATGATTTCTATTGGTTTGAGTTTTCATTTATTAAGCCTCTACCCTAATGAGTTCACCATTCCCTCACCCTTGACAAGCTGTGGCCCTTGGTGTGAGAGAAGAGAGGGTAAGAGCTTTCCTTTGGAGCCTTCATCCTACACTGGAAGACTGCTAGGCACCCTCCATGATTTTTCTTAGCTCATGGACAAAGAAATGAGGGCTCAGGAATATGGCTCACAACAGCCAAGTGCCGAGGCTGTGTTTGGGAAGCCATAGGTTAGCCCAATAGGTCGGCCTGGCTGGCTAGGGAGCTGAGGCCCAGGAGGTGGTGGCCTTAGGGTCCCGTATGGGAAAGTACAAGTGCATGAGCCGTCTTCCGTGGATGGGCCACGCCCTCCAGCCTCAGTTTCTCTCAAACTACTGAACATTCTCCTGAAAGTTCGGTCTTTTGTCAGCCTCCTCAAGCGAGCCTTCCTTCTCCTTGTTCAGTAGTGCCCTCCTGTATGGGAGGCTGGCTGTACAGAGCTCCTGTGAACAATGACAACTTGAAGTACCTTGTAGCCCAGCAGTCACACTCTGAGAACCGTCTGCCCTCCCAGCTTTCTTGACACACTGGTCACAGTTGTCATTCAATGAAGAGTCCTATGTCCAGAGCTGATGAATATATAAGTAAATATGAATCCAGAATGGGGTGAAACCAGGGCTGGGCTGTAGCTCTGTTTGCAGAATGTTTGTCTAGCATGTGTGAAGCCTTCAGTCTGATCTCCAGTATCGCATAGAACAGACATGGGATAAGGCTGAGGAGGTATCTCTGCCAGTAAAGTGTTCGGTTGCCGCTGTGAGGACCTAATGTGAAAAGCCTATTTATAATGAGACAGGCTTGGACATCCAGCACCAGCGATGCTGCAACAGGTGGGTTCCAGCTAGCCTAGGCAAGTCCTGGTGAGTCCCAGACTAGTGACAGGCCCTGTGTCAAAAATTAATGTGGATGGTGGCTGAGGGACACGTGTGAGGTGGTTCTGCGGACCTCTTGTATAGCTGTTTCCTCCAAATTGAAACATTGCCCTAAGGAGGGAGATGGGAGGTTCATGAGACTCAGGAAGAAATTGATCTTCAACAGGAAGCCGAAACCATGCAAGACAAGACTCACCAGGGCCCTTCTTCAAGTAATAGAAGTAGTTGACAACTGTTGGTAAAGACATCTGTTGATTTGCCTGTAAGTCATGCTTCAGGGTAGCAGCTGGAGTTGCATCCTTGCTTGCATAAGCTTTCTGCTAAAAACAGCTGCCTTTGTGTCATCCCTGCTTCTGTATATAATCCCTCACCCATTCCCATGTGACTAGCCCACTAAACTCTAGGCTTCACCATGGTTGTCTTTGTGAGGTTGTTAATTTGGTTTGTCCTTGACTTCCTATGTGGGGTGAATAGTTAGTTGTGTGTTCATGTCCCCCCAGGAGTAGTGTCACACACCACAACTCCACATGCATGCATATCATACACACACACACACACACACACTCATACACGATGGGCATGGTGGTGCATACTTGTGTGCCCAGCACTGAAGAGTTGAAGGCAGAAGGACCAATCATGTCAGCAATGCAAACACGTTAAAGCTACTGGTAGTTCCCTGTTAGAATGTATCATTTTACGATTTTATACATCAGGCAAAAATCTGACTCAAATGTTGTATAAAACGAAGGTTAAATGAAGATCATTCAGGGGGAAAATAACCTGCAATCTGAAGGCACCAACCTTCCTTCTCCCATGTATCTTACTCTGCATTAACCATACCATCATTTAGGGCTGCTGAAGCATGGGTCATAGACTGGAGAGATGCATGAACAGCTGGAAAGGATGTTCACTGATTGGGAGGCTGGACATCCAAGAACAGAGTGCCATTGTGGTCAGATTCTAGTGAAGACCTAGTTGGCATGGGGCTGTGTCTTTGGTGGCATCCTCACGCTGCAGAGTGCAATGGCTCCACACAGATAACTACACTTTCTCTTGGAAATTCCTCTCCTAGTAGCCTTATACAGGGAATTTAGATTTCAAGCTGTGACTTCAGGGTAACAACACATAAACATTCTGTGTGCAGTACAACTGTCTCTTCCTTTAGAAGATGCCATCTTCACAGATGCATGAAAGCAGAATCTGTGCAGGCCAAGTTCAAGTAGAGGTTGAGGCTGATATGGGCTCACATCCAAATCCTTCCTCGAAGAGCTGTGTGATCCAGGGAAAATCTCTTAACATCTCTGACACTTTGCTTATTTGTGGGTTAGAACTGGGAGGCAGGAACTGGAGGTGGGGGCACTGATTACTGGCTTGCTTCATAGTTTTTGCTTAGCTAGAGAGTTAGCCTCCTTCTCTTCCTCCCTCCACCCCCCCTCCACCCCCTCATCTCTTCCTTCTCCTCTGCCTTGCCCTATTTATTTGTTTACTTATTTTTGCAGCAGGGCCTCACTATGTAGCCTTGGGTGTTATGGAGCTTACTGTGTATATCAGGCTAGGTTCAGTTCCAGCACCCACATGGTGGCTCACAACCATTCATAACTCCAGTTCCAAGGATCTGACACCCTCTTCTGATCTCCACAGGCACCAGGCATGTAGATGGTACACACACACGTATATGCACACTCGAACACATAAAAAAATAAATAAATCTAAAAACCATATTTAAAGAGGATCTGTTCCTGTTTCTGCATGTTGGCATTTGTGCTGACATACAGCATGAGCTCCAGTATTCCAGTCACATATTTTATGGGGGACTCTGTTCAGTTACTGCGTTATTAAGCAGTCCTGCTCTGTGCCTGGACTGAAGTCAGAAGTGCAGAGTTCTAGGCTGGGAAACTCTAACAAGCAGGCAGTGATTTCACCGGTAGACCTCCCTTTCCCAGCACTCCCTATCATTTGCACCTAAGAACTGAATAGGTTTCATTCTCATTTTACAGACAATTTGTTCTAAGGCTTAACAGCACTTAGTGTTCTGTTCAGGGTTTTATTTATTTGTTTTGCTTCCCACTTCCTGGTTCACAGTCCCTTGGCCTGCGGTTTAAAGGTATGTTTCTGTTTGATTCTGCTGGTTTACTTCAGAGCTCTGTCTGTGGAATGCTCCATTCCTGACCAAAGGTCTTTGGGCCATGTCCTAACAAATGGTTGGACTATGGTTATGACCCTATGAAGAAAAGGGCATTCTTTTGTAGTTTTTGTTTGTGACAGGCTTTCTCTGGGTAGCCCTGGCTGGTAGTTCTGTAGACCAGGCTGACTTCAAACTCATAGAAAGCCATCTGCCTCTGCCTCTAGAGTGCTAGGATTAAGGGTGTGCACCACCACCCAGCTTGAAAAGGGTTCATTCTTGCAAGAGTTTGGCTGCTCTACGTTTTGGGTTTGGGGATGACCACTAATGAATCTCTCTGTTACATTATTTACAGCTAGAGTTGTTCTGTAAAGCACTGGAGAAAATAGGGAAAGATTTGCCCAGAGTTTATGTTATAAACTTTGTGTTCTGACTTTGTGCTCTCACTAAACAAGCTCTAGGAGATGCAAATCTTTGCTTCCACAGAGACTGCACTCTGAATGGATTTAAATACAAAATATGAAAACACCAAAGGACTAGAACATGTATTGAGAGTTCTGCTCGATTTCCATGTGAAATATACACTCATTTTATCAGTGCTAAGCTAGGCTATTCCGGTTTTAGAAAGAAAGCTGTCATTTAAGCTGCCAATACAGTCTTTTTTTTTTTTTCCTCTCCTGAAGCAGGGTTTTCTCTGTGTAGACCTGGCTGTCCTGGAACTTGCTCTGTAAACCAGGCTGGCCTCAAACTCACAGAAATTGCTGGGCTTAAAGACATGTGCCACCACTGCCCCACAATGCATTCTTTTATAACATTGAGGCTAGATGTTTTAATATCTGATTTGTAATGCATGCATTTTATAAAGTTATTAAGATAAATCAGCATTGCACACAGTGTGACAGGGCAAAGCAGGCAGTGGTTCCTTACCCAATTCTGCTCTAGGAGCCAAAGATCAGGATGTCTTAGCTAACTTACCTTAGCCTTTGTTAAAACTACTTGTTTGTGCAGAACCTTGCCCAGTTAACTGTTCTTCTTGGCTGCCTGTTTGTGCAGAACCCCCTCTGGCTGGCTAACTGCTCCTCTTAGCTTCTGTTAAAACTGCTTGCTTCAAACTGCTCACCCTGTAAAACCCCTTTACAGCTGCCAAGTGAGATACTTCAGCAAGTTCGCTGCCCTTAAAAGAAAATTATCTGGACACTTGGGGCCACACCTAGGTCTCCCCGCAGCACTGGGGTGTTGTCTCAGCCGGCTAGAATAAAGACTTCCAATTGTCCACACATTGTGTCTGAGTGGTCATCTCTGTTGATCTCCCCTTAACAACATGAAGGTATGATGACACATGTTACTCAGACTGACTGAAGAAGTAGAAAAATCTAAGTAGCCCTACATAATGAAAGGGTCTCTCACTGAGCCGGAGCTCACTGATTGGCTACACTGGCTGGCCAGCCAGTCCCCAGGATCTTCCTGGGTCCACCTTCCAGTGCCTAGCTGTGCTTCCATTTTCAGGATTACAGGGCACATGGCTATTTATGTGTGTACTGGAGATCCAGGTTCAGGTTCTCATGCCTGCTCAAGAGGCTTTTTACCCACTGAGCCATCTCCCATGTTAAGAATTCAGCTGCCTTTTTACACTCCAGCGACAAGCAACAAACAACCTGAAAACAACGTTGAAGAAACAAATCTGTTTGCAGCAGCCTCAAGAAGAATAAAAATACCGAGGATACACTTAACTTTTACATGAAAGTTATACTTAGAACAATCTAAATCAAGGACAACATGCTACCATTCATAGACCTACATTGAACTCCTCACTTCACCCTGCTGCAGGGAATTCAGAGACCACGTAACAGACTTGGTGACCTACATTCTTCAGTTTCTGACGTTTTG